CTAAAAAAATATAAGTGGGGCCATATATAACACTTAATTTTATCTACTGTCAAAATGAATTCATGTGTTGACTGTAGTATTATGCATTAAGATCTTGAAAGTCTGTCAAAAGCATTTAAAATACAAAGCAAGTACATTTTCATATCTAAAGTGTCGTAAATTCTAAGTGTTCATATGAAAATGGAATTAAACTTTCTGTATTTCAGCTGGAGCTCTTAGTGCACACAGGTATTTCCGGGATAATCCATCTGAGTTGTGTTGTATCATTGTGGATAGTGGATACTCTTTTACCCACATTGTACCTTATTGCAGAAGTAAAAAGAAGAAAGAGGCAATCATCAGGTATACTGCAGTATGTATTTTCTAAAAGAATTGTTTGCTGTGCCTGAAGTTAACAATGACAGGATTCTTCACGTTACTCTTTCTCTGTAGGATAAACGTTGGAGGGAAACTCTTAACCAACCATCTAAAGGAGATYATCTCTTACAGGTAAAGCATGCTACTTTTCACTCTGAAAGTTGGTATGAAATAAGCTAGAAATATTYTTACTGGTTCTGTGAATTTTAGATCAATTGCTGTTTAAAGGAAAAGGGAATTTTTGTCTGTTATAATCTGCTAGCTGCCATCTTGGCCTTAAGATCAAGATAAATTAAGAAGAGTTTAAATGCTTTGAAGAATTAGACTGTTATTTTTCAAAGTGCTGGTGCTTCTGAAGTTGCTGAGGTTACCTGTGTGTTCACAATTGTACAAGTCTTAACGTATTTTCTGATGTGCCTCAGTAGATGATCAGTCAGTTTGCTGACTGATTCTATCACTAACGCAAATAAAATGCAGTAGGATCAACTTATCACTAGGATCCTTTAGCTTGGAACTTTAGGTAATGTSTTTGCTAAGAAAACTAATTGCAGGATTACAGCTATAGTTATTAGGAAGACAGTGACAAATGCAGGTTAATATATTTATTGAACAGTGAAATAGAAAAATATTAAACTCCAGTAGAGCGGGAATGCTTTTGTAAATTGAATACAAGTTTCAGACATTGAGACAGTAGCTTCCTGTGACTGGAAAGCAATGGTTGCTCAATTCCAGTGGAAAACTGGACAGGAAATGGAGCACTTTATCTCAAACTTGTGTGGTTTTGTTTTTTTTTTCACAGGCAGCTACATGTTATGGATGAGACACATGTAATTAATCAAGTGAAAGAAGATGTGTGTTATGTTTCTCAAGACTTTTACAAAGACATGGACATTGCCAAGTATGTATCCAAAGGTACTAAATGTAAAAGTTGGTACTTCTGCATAATCTGTTTGTACAAACAAATAAAACTGTACTCCTAATCAGAAAATTTTCCAGTTAAGTCAAAGAACTTTTGCCAGTATAAAATAGTTAGAATTTAGAACTTATTCTTTATTCTGTTGAATTTTACATTCTTTTTCAGATTGAAAGGAGAGGAAAATACTGTAATGGTAGATTACGTTTTGCCAGACTTTAGCACAATCAAAAAAGGATTTTGTAAGGTAATGATAGTTTTGAATTTATTTTGGACTGTTCACCTGCATAAGTCTAGTGGAGAGGTTAAAAATACTTCCTTTTTTCTAATGTTGTATTGTAACATCTTCCTGAGCTATGCATTAATTGTTTAAGTTGGGATGAAAACAAAATACTGTTTTTCCAGCATAACATTTTATGTTCTATTATTTAACATTTGTACCTTTCTCTGTTTGTGTTCTGTCATACAACTTACCCATATCATTACTGGGTTTTTTAACATTAAGTTAGGAAATGTTGCTTTGTATTTTTTTTTTGTAAGTCTCTCTGGATTACATTTAAACACCCTAATAAGTTGAAGGTTCAAAGTCATGTTGTAGAAGAGCCTGAAATACTGACGAAGACAATTCAATCATTTTATCTTATTTACTGAGTCAGCCATAGTTTTGAAAGCAGTCCTAATATTTTGAGGCTACTCTCATGTATACCAGTTTTATTTTACTTCAGACAAAACTGCAGTTGGTAAGAGCAAAGTCACTTCAGATGTAGTACCAGACTACRCATTATTCTTAAAAGATTTGCTGATAGATAATATGACAATGTAGCACAGACTGCCTATGTCTGCAGGACATGAAATAGATTAGCTGAATATTCTAAGATGTGATTTCTTTTCTTAAGCAGTGGGTACTATTCATGTCTTTATTTTAGCCAAGGGAAGAGATGGTGTTAAGTGGAAAATACAAGACTGGTGAACAAATACTTCGTCTAACAAATGAAAGATTTGCAGTTCCAGAAATACTTTTCCATCCTTCGGATATTGGTATTCAAGAGATGGGAATTCCTGAAGCCATTGTTTATTCTATTCAGAATCTACCTGAAGGTATAACCTGAAAGTATTTTGAAAAGGATTGGAGGGGTGGGAGAAGGGATGTTGTCATGGCTTGATTTGGTTTGGTGTGAAACTGACCAAAATTCAGTAATTTAAGCATCAAAGAGTAAAACCTTTCTGACCGCTTTTTTTCAGAAGTAATACTAAGGCTTTCATTATATAGATTATTACAGTAATTATTACACAAAAAAGACTTTCATAGGTTTTATGATACCATGTAAGTATGGCAGCATTTAGGCTGTTAATGTACTCTTAAAGAAAAGTGTGTCACTTAAAATCCCTTTTGAAAGGGAAATTGTGTTGGCAAATTTAATATGAAATTTAATAGACAATATAAGAAAACAGCAGTCATCAAAGCCACATTCCAAAATCAGGAAGAACACAGGGTGCTTGATCACCTTTCATATTTCTATATAACTGATATGTTGATTAGATGATCATACATTTTTTGTATGCATATTTTTTAATTCTGTTCTAATTCATAAAAAAAATTGAATAAACCACCACCTTTAATCTTTAGATTTTTTTTAACTACAGATTTACTTAATTGTTTTACAGAGATGCAGCCYCATTTCTTCAAGAACATAGTTCTGACTGGGGGAAACACCCTTTTTCCAGGCTTCAGAGATCGGGTTTATTCTGAAGTCCGATGTCTTACTCCAACTGATTATGACGTTTCCGTGGTTCTTCCTGAAAAGTAAGTTCCAAACTACTAAATAGGAGGGGCTTTATCTTTCTAGCAGAACAAGCAATAAAGTAGGACTTTTTTGGTGATTAAAAAGATGGAGTATTGGCATTAATTAAAATATTTAAGTGAACAAAAACTGTGCAAGAAGGATGTTTTAAATCAGTGTATTTTCCACATAAATTAGAGATCACCTGCTTGGTCTGTACTTCAGCTAATAAAGCTGAAGTGKTTTTAGGGTCAGCCTTTTTATTGTAAACAGATAAATAAGACTGTTTTGTCATTAGGTGGAGATGTAAGATTAGAGCTTAGTCTTTTACTTAGAAGAATTTTCAGCATCTGAATGCTGCCATGTCATTATTAATGTACCACTTCAGGGATTAGGAAGGGGTAATATCTTTCTAGAAGAAGTGGASACAAAACAAATATATTTTGAACAGACCAAGAAAAAGTTACCTTTTAAAAATTATTGTTAAAGAGTATTTTTATTACTATTAAAGAATCACTGTCTGTGCAAAGTAAAGAGATATCCGTGTCATTCCCTCTTCACACCGGACTTCAAAAAGGCCATTTTTCAAAAGTCGAGTCAGCTAGCCCTGCTAAAATTTCAGCTTCTCTGGAGCTTCATGGTTTGATTTAGCAATCAAAAATGTAGTTTTAAATAGGTACAGCTAAATAAAAGTCTTGGAAATCATCACTGCATAGTTGTATTTTAAATGAACTTACAGATGAGTAACAACTTTGTTCATTTTCCAGCCCTATTACTTATACTTGGGAAGGCGGGAAGTTCATTTCTGAAAATGATGATTTTGAAGACATGATAGTAACTAGAGAAGACTATGAAGAACATGGACACAGTATCTGTGAAGAGAAATTTGATATATAGGTAGCATAGTTGGATATGTTGTTATTTCACTGTTTTACTCAGAATGGAATTCTTTGACCTACAACCTCTTTTCCATCAACTAGGATTGTGTTTTAGCTTTCCTGTACTGAATTGGGTTGAGAAAAAAAAAAATTCAGAGTTTAAACATAAAGTTTTAYAAACCTAATACTATGAAGTAATATGTTCATTGCAATTTTATTATGTTCTTGTATTTTCTGATAGCTTCRTTGTATTTTTATTGCAGAAAACCTCAGTGCATGAGGCAATAAAAGTACCAAATGCTTGTACYGGTGTGACACTACATAGTGAGAAGAAATAGTCTTGGGTTGTTTTTTTTTTCCAAATAAATATTATTTTAACTCATGCATGCAGGTAAATGGATATGAAACACATCTCAAAAGGAACTTCTGATGTTGCCTCTTCTGACAAGAAATACATGAGTTTTATTTTTGGTTATTTTASAGTTTTTTACTTGAAGTAGCAGCAGCTCACTCTGCTATAGTGGGGAGACAGTAACAACAGGTYGTAATTACTGACTGCAAGCACACAGCGCCCCTACCTAATAAATCTTTCCTGCTGCAGTTTCAAAACCCAAGGACCTGCTTCCAACATTTTTTGCACACTTCATACAYTTTCACAATACCCACAGGATTCATGACATACAGTTTAAGATTAGATGAAGTTATTATTAATTACAGATAGAAAAGAATAAAAACCCCTACTGATTATCAACCCAAGCATGGCTTAGAATGTAGACATGGCTCAAATAGAAAGCCATGGGATTGTGGGACAGAGGAAAAAAGATGCCAAACCCTAAATTCAAAGCAGCCCAAGCAGTGYGCTGTTATTACCAACTTACAAATAATTAAGTATATTTTGCTTAGAAGATTTATTAGATTTAATGCTTTTCAGCAACATAATAATTTTGATAGTTGTAGTTTCCTGAAACTGAAGATGTAAATAAGTAAGAAGAAAACATTTTTTCACGAGCAATTTCCATGTGCGTCCTCCACTCTTAAAAAAAAAATATTTTAAACAGACGGTATTGAAGTCTAACCATTTGGAGTACAAAATTCACATGTAGTTTTACAACCACTACAGTAGACAAGAGAATGGTATTTTTGGAATTCTTTGATTAATTTCTTCTTTTGCTTCAAAGGAACAGTGGGGTCATTGTCCATCTCTTGAATCAGTGCTAGAAGAAACTGATTGGTTTGTTGTTTTTGATCTTCATATTCTTTAGCTGAAATGTGCTGACAGAAGGTGAAGCCTTTGTGAAAAATCAGAGGTTCAGATTAAGTTTCATGCAAAAGCCTTGTTAAAAAATAGAAGAAACAGGTATRCCAATATTCCAGTTCAGATGTGATTACATCTACAAGCAATGTGAAACATAAGCCCTCCACTGAGAATGGATGGAAATATAAACATTAATTGCAAAAATAAAGTTGAAATAATAATAAACATTAATTGCAAATATAAAGTAACATAGATGATTCTATATTGCAAACAGATCTGCAAGGCAAAGAGCAAACGCAGATCTCATACAGAAACCACAATGAAGACCATTACACAACAAAAATGGCACCTTGCCTTTGTCAGGATCCAAAAATTTCTTACTACTTCTTGACAAACACCATCATCTTTAGGCTTCACATAGAGTAGTATTAACTGGAGCTGTCACAGTTTTCACATGGACCCATCTTTCCCTTCTTTCACAGTAAGTTTGTCAAACATCAATACTTTCTATGGTTTAGTAGAACCAGATAAAGAAAAAGCCAGTTCTTTCAAAAGGGAAAGCTTACCAGCTGGCAAAGAGATTAACTCTTAGAACTTCAGTGTGGATCCTTTAGTCCTGTGGTTTCAAGTGTCTTACTAGATTAAAACCAACCCAAGAACTGAGTTCTCTCACTGGTTTTAATCTTTTTTATTTCCAGCAGATCTAAGGATTACCCTCCTGCAATAGATAGACCCCTTTTCTTATCAGGGTCTYCCAGCCTTCTGTTCTGCTCCCACCCAGACTTAAGTTCACCAGCTAAGAATGCTCAGTAGCTMCTAGGAAAGATTTTACTGCTGTCTCCTGCTGGGAAAATGACACCAGGACACGAGGCACACGGGAAAGCAGGAATATGCCATGCTGGAGAGCTTAGAATGAGATCAAACTAGCTATTTCAAACTAGCTATTTCAACAAGTAGATGGAACCTATATGCATTTAGAGATTGGAACACCAAAATTTAGGAAAAATGTAGTATGAGGTTTGTACTTCAGTTGTCTGTTCAATGTGCTGATGCARATCACACCAGCTCTGAGAATATTACAGACAGGCAGCTCTTGCCTCTGTTGCTCATCTCTATTCTTTGGCTACACAATACRCAATTCTCAGAACACTGAGCCAGAAGGAATTTGGACACATTCCAGAATCCAACACAGATGGTCAAAGATTTTGTACCAAAACAACTTCTCAGGCAGCTGCTCTATTAAATACAGTATTACACAGCAAAATAACTTAGTGYTATTTGGTTCCCTAGTGGTTTCTCYTCTGTTTAAGCACACAATGCACTGGCAATATGGAAGCTGAAAAAAGGTAAAGAGTCAGAGAGAAATTCAATCATTTAAGCCRACCCTTTTGGTCAGTTTTGCAAGATATTTGTGGCAGCAAGGCCAGAAGGAATGTTAGCTCGTGAAAGAAATAAGCTGAAAACCATTATTCCCACATACACAAGGGTAATGTAGCCTAAAAGGAAAGCATTTGACACTTGGTGTKTGAGTCCTAAGCTCTTACACTTGGTGCTTACCCAAAAAAAGAAGAGAGTTCTTMAAAAAACACTTAACAGTCAAAACACTATACAATAGAAGTCTGTACTCAAGTCATCTATCAGAACCTTGAACTACTGAGTTTTGTGAGAATTTGTAGGTGTCTTSTGGCAAAAATAAAAGAATACTGTACCTAAATAAAAACATCAAATTCACAAACCAAATTATATGCAAATGACTTCAGGAAGCACATTTTGCACTATTTCCAGARGTATCTGGTAAAAAAATAATTGTATCCAGACTGGATAATTAATAGAATCCTTGTTCCCCAATATTTAGACCAGTTTTGCTGATAGCATATAATTTTACATGGAGTGCATAAGCCAATAATCCCCTTAATACTTCATTTCTAACAAAGGAAAAGAACAGTCTATGCAAAATTATAGTCAACAGATAATAAATCAGTTTGTGTACAATAATTATATAAAAATGTACCACAACATCTACCTGAATTGATATCTGGATCTTGCCTTTCTACCAAATGCTGAAGTCTTCTACTCATTAGTTCCAGAAGAGTTAAAGGAGTCTGACAATACAACCCAACAMAGAAAAAATTAAAAGAGCAATACTTCTGCATTTTGAGACTCTAAAGCTTTAACATGACCAATTTAAGAACACAYAGTTAATGCAGAAGAATCTATGCCTACATCTATTTAAGTACACATTCAAAGTCCCTCACAGAATTGCACATAGTTTTACTAAGATACACATGTTTATTGCTAGTATTTCTAGCCAAAGAAATAGGAAGCAAAAAGTTCTAGATATTGATTTCCATGGCACAAACTGCAGAGTAAAAGCAGTGGATTTCAGCTTTTGCACAATGTTCTCAATTGCAGCTGTAAGAGTGAACTGCCATCCACATATTTTCCCTGCTACACAGTTGTCTGGCCCCCGCCTCCAATAGGGAATCAAAGCCCTAAGGGAATCAAAGCCCTAACCCTCATATAAGAAGTCTTAATACAAAAAAAAAAAAAGGGAGTTTGCTGTGTATTAACATACAAAACTCTCACTAACCTTAATACTTTCAAACTAAATTGGAGCTAATTATAAAGAAAAGCAAAATCTCTCATGTCTCTTGACCTGAAGTCAGAAGTGGAAATTAATGTGTTGCATAAAAATAGAAGCCAATATTTTACTCAAAGCAAATTTCTGTGAAGTTTATTTGTATTGACTATGGTAAAGTTTCACCTTTTCACTTGACAATATGATGGAACATAAAGAGRCTATAAAAAGTCTGCATATTTACACAGCTCATTAAGCTTAACAGAAAGGCTATTAGCACTTGTGGTTCTATATGTTTTCTTTAATTTAGAAATTAACATTTCAAAATACTGAAGGATCTTTTAGAGTTGTCAAAGCTATACACATTACATGGTTAGAAGACCATGCCATTTTTATACCAGAGTATGCCAGTGAACTTAMAAAGGAAAAAGACATTAAGATGCCTAAAAATTTAGTAGGCAGTCATTACCAACAAGGTGCCAAAATGATTCTATTAAAAAATCTTAAAATTTTAAATATTTTCATCATATAAATCATGCAAATAGAGAGGATATAATTTTTTAATTATTGCAAAGCTCTCAGTAATCTGTCCTCTATAGTGTGGAATAGCTTCTCACACTGTTTGGCTGCACTATTAAACTGTAACAAATTGAACATTAAACTCAGTTCCTCAGACTCATCATACTCCAAAAAAGGCAATTCAGGACATTTAACATTTAAAATCACAAAGCCAATGAGGTAAGGAAAATGATACCTTGWAGAGCTCAGAGTGATTGTCCATCAGAAACTGAGCCAGCAGTTCTGCCTGTGGTTTTGACAATGTTCTATTTTGCAAGATGAACTTTGCACAAGTCTTGATGATCACAAATCTGTTCTCAAACTAGAAAAAGTAGTASTCAGATCAGGCATTAGATTGACTTGCAGTGTACTAGAAAACACTAAGTATAACAGGATGCTATTAGTGGGAAAAACACCTTGGTATTTGTTTTGAAACAGATCACATTGAAAGGCAGTAGGCAGAATACTTCTAACTGGACAAAAATGTTAGCTTTACTAGGAGAAAATGCTTTTTTCCACATTGAACATAACACATACTTACTTGTTTTTGCAATCTGTAGCCCTCAGATTCTGATGCAATGGCTAGGAATGTAAGGAGYCTGTGTAGTTCTTCACTAATATTTGGTGGTAATAATTTTAAATAAAGTTGTAATGCTTCTATAGCTTGATCTGTTTTTCCTCTTTCTGCAATGGAGTAAAACAGTACATCCAATGCAACTGTTSATTTTCAGAGTCACAAATACACATTTAAATCCCAATAATAATCCCACTTTTGGGGGGTTTTTCCTTCCAAACAAAATAGATTCTTTCAGTGACAAGACTCAATACAACGTTTAATCAATTAAAGTTTAAAGCCTTTATCCCACAGTTAAGGATGCAGTGGCAGGGTGGCAGCAGGCAGTGARTGAGCAGCTTTGTAGTAYCTAGTTGGCAGCTGGGGCTRAGATCYRATAGAACYGAAGTAGCAACAAAGCTGATTTGGGTAGGATTAATCTGAAACTTGTAATTAAATGAAATCCTTCTGGTTAGTTACGTGCATATGATGGGAGGGTTCTCAATTTTATAATTTTAAGTAACTTCTTTTGCTAAAAAGGACCCTAAGTCCAGAACTCTAAAATCTTTATTCTGGTTAATATGAAAAACTTTCTAGCAATGAGTTTAGTTTTATGTTATTAATCAGAAGTAGCAACAAGGGAAATTCTGACTTGAGATAAGTTTCACAATTACATAAGTTACATTGTGAAAGAGTTACCCACAGAGTTTGGTGAATTTCTACCCTTATGGATTTTCAAAATTCAGCTGGACCAGGCCCTAAGCAAATCGATGTAACTTTGAAATTTTTCCTTGTCTTAAGCAGAAGTTCTTAATAGTGATCTTGAACATTTCCTTCCAACCTAAAAAGTGCATCTGCAATGGCATTGCAAATGGTGTCATGATTCAGTCAATTGACATTTAGTAATACCCTCTACACAGCTTTCACCTGTATTTTTGTTCCAGGTTGCTCTTACCTATAAGTTCTATAATTCCCGAATGAATATCCTGATCCTGAGTGGCAAGAAGAGAGTCCTTCTTTTGACTGTAATACTTCACTATAACATCAAAAAGAATCTTCTTGTATGCATTCAGACTGCTGGGGTTGTTAGTRCTTTCAGGTAACTGCTGACTAACCATCACTAGGAATTGATCAGGAAAATACTCCAAGCATTCAATTGCAGCGTAGAGCCATCTGTCAAGCCTGTAGGAGGAAAAGTTAGTTTTAGTGCTTGCTTTAAAATGCTTGACCTATTTTTATTTTCCCAGATTCATAGAATACTCTGAGTTAGAAGGAACACACAAGGATCATCACGTCCAGCTCTTAAATAAAAAGGATTGAATCCATAACCTTGCTGTTATTAGCACCATGCTCAAACTARCTGAGCTAATCTCAGGGTTCATGTAATCCTTTAAAGAAAACTTGACAGAAATAGGCAGGTTTAGTCACGTATATGAACCATAACACTGAACTGATTTATTAAGCAGTTTATGTAACTTATCTCACTACAGCCGTTCAAGGACCTGCCCGAAAAAAGTAACTTTCATAGTTTACCTCTGCTAATGGCAATACACCTGAGATTCAACCAGATCAAAACAAGCTGCACTCATGCCAGAGCTGTCACTGACCCCCAGGAATTCAGCTGGTAAGTAAAGACCAAACACGATCCCACCCATTACTCCAACACACACATGGAGAACCCATCAGGGCTAACCAAGATGACAAAACCAAGAGACTGGATCTTTACAAAAGAGAAGAAAAAAAAARKTWRSCMKRAAAAAGAGAAAAATAAAAATAGTTTAAATCACAGAARATTACAGAAGCAGATTATTATATTATCTAATATAAAGGTAATGGGTTTTCACAAGCATTTGTTGTCTGTATGTCTTAACTAAAGAAAGAAAACRTAAAATCAACCTAAAATTCAGGTGRGTAATYCATTGTTGAAAGAAGCCAAAAGATCAGAGAGAAAAGCCTCCAGCATTTTGTACAGAAAAAATATAAAATTATAGAAATGTGTGGGGTAAAGATTATCTGATTCTGGATGTAAAATAATTTGATCTGAACCAATGAAAATTTGGAAACATTGTTTAGGATCCACAGAACCTTATTTTTATCATGAAGAGCAGAAACAAAGATTGCAAAATTGCAGATAAAACTGTTGATTTGACAAAAATAATCATTCCTAAGATATTCACATGAGCCTTCATATTCATTAAAAGTAAATGCAAGATGGAGATCAGCCTAAGTACAGTAAACAGGAACACTACAAAAGTAAGAGAAGATTTAAAGAAAAAAAGCACTGACAACATTCAGCCACATTTATATTCTCACTGCWTAAGCATTCTTCAGTGCTACAGCTTAGTTTCTCCTTTTCTCTTGCTAACAACAGATGMCTTATTAACTTTCTATCTTCACAGCATGGCCACCAGGAACTRTGACAAACAAACAAAARGTCTCAGAATAAAATTTTTCAAGTTCTAGTATCTGTTACAGAGACTTAAGAGTAAAGAATCTSGTCTAGGAACTAGAAGTGTTTTCAACACTTGAGGTTAAAGTTTTAATGTTTATTAAAATACTTAATGTCCAACTCTAAATACATAGTTTTTGTGAAATCACCACTTCTAAAAAGAAGCCCAAGTAAATCACATTAATGCCACCCCTGCCTACAATTATACAAACATAATGATGTCTGTTTTGTTCATTTAACACAAATCTTTGACCAAGAGTAAAAKAAAGCCTTTACTAGCAAATTAATTTGATAGATGTATAACTTACTCGGGCAAGTTTAAGCTACACGTAACCTCTCTGTCCAGGAAAGTATTTGAGATAACCATGTCTTCTTCTTTGCCAAAACTGTCTRATTTTGTCTTCACTGAAGACACCAAGATATCTTCTAGAAGAGGAACATCAATTAACTGCAGCAGTCGTAGCAGAGTTTGCTGTTTCCAGGCATCTTCTATTACTGGTACCATAAACAAACAAAAAACCCCCAGAAACAAGTTCTTAGGTAAACAAYTAATCTTTGTTTTTACTCACTCAAGTATCTCTTAAGTGTTCAAAGAAAAMATGGTAACAGCACAGTGTTGGGAAGCTCAGAAGTTGCTATGTTGGGTAAGAAGGGATCTTAGGATGCTAAAAAAAGTCTGCCTCRTATTAGGATTCAGAATAATCTAATTAGTAGAAGAAAGAAAAAYATAAGTGAAAAGCAAAGCAATCATATAATGAAGATGTTCTTAACCTAAAGCCTTACTTCCTTCTGAAGTAGTATTTGCATAAACAGCACCATTATGCAAAAACATAACCCTGCTGTGTTTCCTTCTGTTTAGTTCCTACATGCAYTAACCCCTTTAACACCATTTAGATATTTTGTCATTAGTGACAGCTTAAATTTAGGTCTCTGTGGAGCACTGTTTAACAGAAATGGGGCACTCRCTCCAAGACACAGTGAAGAACAATCAAGTTTTAAAAAGCAAAAAATTCAATCCTCACCTCTTTTTGAAAGCAGATGAGTTGGTTCATTAACCATGCTCTTTGGAGGCAAAGATGCATGAATATATATTGATCGAAGAAGCTCCTCAACCTTCTTTTTATCAGCTGCTTCCAATGCTAWGGGGTTTGAAAGTGTTGTGTCACGCTTTGTTCTGCTTAGGAAAGTTACAGGAAAAAAAAAGTTACATATATAACAAGTTAGGAAACATTTGTCTTTCTGTTACTTACTAAATTGTTCTTAAATCAGAACTTTAGAGCGTCATTGTATCTGGAGTCTCTCYKGTTGCTAGAATTCCAATCATCCACRTCTGCTTTGTGGAAAGGGGAAGGATATGGATTCCAAATACTGTTAACTAGTTCCACTTCTTTTACCAGCTTTCASTAACTAGCTCATTCATAGTAAATCTCAGATTTCAGCACAACTGATTGCAAAACCAAATTATTCCCAAGCTTATGCCACTGTGCCAGACTCTATTCCCAATAACAAAGGGCAGATCAAAGCACTTCACTCAAAAATACCTGGCAGCATCTACAATTTAGGCATGACATTTCTCAAAACTTGCACAGACCTATCAGAAACCTCCAACACCTGGCTTAGACATAACTTTATCTACAGGTAACACTCCTCAACTCACTAAAAAAACAAAGAGAAAGATCAGAATAGTGCAGAGTAACTRACTTGGAACGTCTTTTTGTTTTCTGTTTGCAGATTTGCTCAGGAGATAAACTTTGATTGTYCTTATTCTTTCTTGGAAGAAGAGGATCAAGACTGCTATTTACAAATCTATAGAGACTAGTGTCTGTGTCTTCAAACTCTGTTTCTTTCCCATTCTTGAACAAGTAAAGCTTTGCTCCAACTGGCTCAAACACTTTGTGATCCATCAGCGCTTGGCACACACGGACTCCCTTCAGCCGAGAAATATCATTGCAGCTTAGGTACATGCTTTGCATAAGATGGCTCAGTACCACATCCACAGCATTGGAGCCGGTGAAACAGTTTCTGTATGTTTTCAGATATTGTCTACGTCTTTTGATTTCCACTTGATTGTGAAGGGCATGTATAATATTATTCCACAGCTGAGTTGCTTGAAAAGGACCATCACAATCTGCAAGATATTTATACAAAAATTTTACACATTTATAAACGTTTACTTTAATACATATAAAAGATAAAATTTTACACTGTGATTTTAGTTATATATCTTAAAAAAATATTCAGGAATCGGCTAAACTTTAGAGTATCTCCGGAAGTGGAGATGTCCACATACGATATCACAGCCTCTCTGGGCACCACTGAAAGGTTGGCTCCAACTTGTTTGCACTCTCTTCAGACACTTGCAGAGAAGACCCCCGAGCCTTCTCCCGCCTGAGCAGCCCCAGCGCTCTCAGCSTCACCTGGGGGAGCTGCTCCCCAGCCTCCAGTTTATCCTCACACAGCGCAGCAGAAGACAAACCTGAGTTTGCAGTGCATTAACCGCGCCTGCCTCCCGGTCGAACACCCAGCCCAGCTCCATGCCCAGCCCTATCAACGGCACCTCCACAATCTCAGCTCCAGGGGATACGGCCGGAGGAAGCTCCTCTCCCTTCTGTTCAGCTGCCGAGCACCCCGTAACCGCGTCCTGCCCGCTGCCCGCCATCGGTCCCTCCCGCGGCACCGGCAGCCGGGATGGCAACACAAAGGCGCTGTCCCCTCGCAGCCCACTCCTCTCCCAGAAGGAGCCGCCGCCAGCCCCTCCGGCACTGCGGGGGACAAATTGCTGCAGCGGAGAGACGGGGATGCCGCTCCCTCCCCACCTCGGCGCCGCCCGCTCCCCCGCCGCGGCTCCAACTCGCTCCGACTGCGGATCCTCCTGAAGCGCGGAGTCAAATAGCCCGCCATGGCCGCGGCCGGGCGGCTGGCGGAAGCCGGCGGAGCGCATCACTTCCCGCCCGCCACCCCCGGCCGCGCCCAGCACCGCCCCTGCGGGTCGGAAGTGAGCCCAGCTCCGGCGGCCCCCGCCCCGCCGCCGAGGCTGCCGTCGTCGCTATGGAGTAGCTGCGGCAGGACGGGGCCGGAGAGAGAGACGGAGCCGGTGTGACAGGCGGCCCGCCGGACCCTCAGGGCGACGGGCAGCCGGGCCCTGCACCGGCAGCTACCCGGGCTCAGGTGAGAGGCCGCGGCCCGGGGCGGGAGCGGCTGCCCGGGGCCTGGTGGCGCTGCGCGGGGCGGGCAGGGCCGGCGGCTCCGCGGGAGCGACGGTCTCTGTCCCGGGTGCCCGGCAGGGGAAGGGCTGCCCCGGCGGAGCCAGCGCTGCGCGGGCAGGGCCTGGCGGGGAGCGCTGAGCTGCCCGAGCCGGCGGATCGCGGGTCACCTGCCGCCTGAGGCCGCCTGAGGCCGCCCCCCCGGGCGCCGCTCCGGGCTGCCCGCGGAGCAGGGAGCGCAGGCACCGGCCCTGCGAGGCGGAGCGGTGCGAGTCTGCTTCCCCTGTAAATAACAGTMAATATTTTGTTCGGGAGGTGTAGCCCCGCAGGAGGCTGCCCCGGGCTTTGTGCAGCGCACGGGCTGGTTGTCACTTGCCACCAGGCGATTGACAGAACCCTGTTCGTGGATCGCCTTCTGTGAGTTTTTGGTAGGGATTCAGCTAAAGCGCAGTACCGAAATGGTGCATGAAAGTTAAGAAGGTGATGTGCAGCGAGAGCGGCTACGCCTTGCACGGTGCTTCATTGCATTTGGCCCGGTGTTTTTGTAACAGGTGCAAAAAACTGGTTGTGCTTGTGCTGGGCTTTTCTCCTTTTGTTTGCTGTGACTCWATTGTTCCAGCACTTCTGTCAACTGGTCCTGGTTTGGGGCAGATGGATAGGATGCGGTTTGGTGACATGAAGTAGCTGCACCAGCCTGCTGTCTTAGTTCCCAAAGGGGAATCCCGGCTTTTTATAGKTCAGGATAGTGGTAGAGTGTATGCTGTACTGCTGTACAGTGTGCAGCCGTAGCCATACATCAGATAAAGGTATGAATTAGTTTGAAGTTAAATTGATGGGTTTCCATTATGCAGGTTTTTTTATATGAATGAGAACTGAAGAACGGTGGACAGTTTTTGTTTTGGATTTCAACAAACTTTATTTCAACATTTTGAATGTTTTGCTTCATTTCTTAGTGCAGTGTTCATTGCTGCTTACTACCTTGCTAAGTGATTGTTCTGATCATGCTGGTGTGTTATTGCTGATGTACATCAGCATAAAAACCAATACTGATTGTGASGGGCACTCATGAAAAGAATGTATTGAACATTCACATTTTTTAGCATTAGTACCAAGTTTCATGGACTTAGTATCAGTAGCATTAATATTACTTATGAATTTCAAATAGGAAGAAACCTGCGTTCTTAAGCATTTCTTGCATATCCTGTGTTGYTTGTCCAAACACTGTTACTCGTCAGATTTTGTATTGTTTCATTTAACTTGAAATGAATATTTCAGTATTCTGTGGGTGATTGACTTTATTGCCACTTGGTTATTTATTTTTTTACAAATAGTAAACCAGTCTTAAAAGAAATGAACAAGCCAGTTTTCCTACAGTTGAGAACTAAAACTGTGTATTTCACAATATGCAGTACTACAATTACTACCCAAAGTAGGTATTTTTGGTGGGGCATGAATTTTCTAAGTACATTGTTCCTGTTGGATATATAGAGAGTTTTTACTGAAGTTAGTAATAGCAATTGATTTTAAAAAGCAAAATGTTCTGTTTTCACTGACAATCAAGTGATGATGCAAGGATTTCTACAAATTAACAGTTAGATGGATATAAACTTTAAACCCCATCTGCTTATTGAGAAATAAGTTTTCTTGCTCAGTAGCTAAGTTAAACAATAGTTTGCCTACTGTTAAGTGGAAGGGGAACAGGTTAGACAGGGTCTACCAGGTTTGAATTTTAAATTCTAGCATTAAGGTACTGAAATACTGTTGACATTCTCACCTAGTGGCTTTTCCAGGCTACTTACTSCAGTTAGTCTGTCACCCACAGCAGAGGGCACTTCTGATTTAATGAATAGTACACCATTTTTCCACCACCTGTGTAGAGAAGCTTCCTTTCAGATTTACACAAAGGAACTTGAATGTGCATGCACATGCATTTTCTTCATAATATTTCTGCAGTTAATTTTGCAAAGTGCTTTATGTTCTAAGAGTCCTAACACAAGATGGTGTTGCATTGGTATGAGGGAAGATTTGATGGCTGGGAGTGAACAAAAGAATGGAAAAAGCACAAGAGCTAAACCCAAATAAATTAAATTTGGGATTAAACTCATTAGGATAGGTTTTATAATCTTTTAGCATATAGAGTTTGGGCATAGAATACCTGCTGAATAAAATTGCTGGGAGCTGGAAATGCCTATAGGTCCTTTTTAGAATGCTCCCTGATCTTGTTTGTACCTATTTACCAGGTTGATGAAAAGTTCTTTTGTACAGGGATATTAGCCAGTGTCTTCATAGCTTTTAGGTCTAGGGCTGCACAGTTAGGAGTTGYATGTGTTTTTCCACATCATGAATAATAAAGTGAAATTAATTCCTTGTAATAATAAAAGGCCACATACTGAAATAAAATTACTTAGTAAAGGAAATCTGTGTTTCCATAATCTATTTCAAGGCATAGTCTCAACAAAACACTAACTAGATACGAAACAAGTATGTAGTTATTCTTAAGATGGTTGTGTTGATTTCAGATGCAGCGTCTTATAGCTAAAACTCACTGTCCCCATAATTAAGACAAACTCCACCCTTAACATCTTGCAGTAACATCTGATTTGGCTCCTGAGGCCTCCTGTTGGAGTCATGACTACTATATCTGATTAAATTTGRTATGTGAGATTGAGATCTGTGCAGCTGGATTCCTATCTTAAAATATATTTTCTTAAAATTCCTGGTGGGGTTCTTCATTTAGTTATATCACTACAGCTGATATGGAAACTAGAGAAATGTCTATGGAGCCATAGCATTAGTGTGTTCCTGGGTTTCCCTACAGAAGAATATTGAAGTTTGGATATGACTGCACCAATAGTCAAGACAGAGCAGCATAGCTGWGCTACTTCCAGCACTCTGCTGAGGTTTGCCTAGGGCTTGGCTAGTGCTGTCACACACAGCTGCACTTGAGTGAATTGTTCCATAACACAGGRAACTTTTTAAGAAGTTTTGTTCAGTGTGTTTATTACCTCTTTTGTGAAATAGGTCGATCTTTGCAATTGAAATCTAATCAGATTATTTGTCCTGATTTGTAGTGGAATCAATCTATAGTACCAGGGAGAGAAGGAGTGCACATTCTCACTGAAGTGAGGTAACRTCAGTGTGGTTGATTTTGATCAAGTTTGACTAAGACATACAGGTGTCTTTATACCTTATTGGAAAGAGAGACTGAAGAAATATGCTTAAATGTTACTTTTGAATATACTGCATATTACTGATTTCAGGAAATAATTTCTTCTTGCATTCTGTCTTTGTCTTGGCTCACACAGATAAAGAAGATGAATGTCTCTTTTTCAGCTGTTTCTTTGCTGCCTTCGTTTTTTTCTTGTGTGTAGATTATCAGAGAAGCAACTGTATAAATGGGACATAGGCTTCAGAACTTGTATCTGACAGAATAGGCAAGTCAGATTTATTATGAAAATGTAGAAAACTGTGGAAGTACACACTGCAGGGGAAGATGAAGTAAATTGCAAGCTGCCACAGCCTTTTAGCTCTTGATTTTGAAAGATGATGTAAAAAAAAACTTCCTTGTGCAATATTGATAAAGCATAAAAAGATGATTTCTTGTTTCYTTCCCCTACCCTTGTTATTTAAATTCATTAATAGTTGGATCATACAATTGGTAATATCAACAATCTGATGGGCAAAATACTGAATTTTGAGCTTGTATTTTGAAAAGCACTGTGTAGGAAAGAACATGTTTGTTTTTTTATTTACTCTCTGTATAAGACACATCTATTATTTTGCTGGCCTGGGATCTTAAGCAATCCTTTGCGTCAGAAAAATATGCAGTTCTGCGAGCACTGGAATTAAAGGATTCTGTTTTCTGCCTTGTTTCTGAAGAGGAGTAGAAGCAATAACATGCAGTCCCATAGGTGTGCATCCACAGATAGGTGCATGCAGTGTGAATATATTTAATTGCAAAGCCCCGGTAGTTACATTTTAGTATTCTTTATGTGGGTTGCTCCTGTATCCTATTGGATCCTTGTTTAGAAGTTACAGTTTTCAACATGTACCTTTTGTTAACAGAATTAGAGAGGACTGTGAAACCTTTCTTTTCTTGTCTTTGTAGGATAAGACATTGGTGCACGGTTGAAACCATGGAGTCCATGCTGAATAAGCTGAAGAGCACCGTTACAAAGGTGACGGCTGATGTCACCAGTGCGGTCATGGGAAATCCCGTTACCAGGGAATTCGATGTTGGACGTCATATTGCCAGTGGAGGTAATGGTCTTGCTTGGAAGATATTTAATGGAACTAAAAAATCTACAAAACAGGTGAGTTGTCAAGTAAAGACCTAAGTTTATAAACGTTAAATGACAGACTGATAGGTAGGAGTTGGTCAGTGGCAGTTAAAAACAAAGTCCAACTGGGCAAACTAATATTAAGGATGATGAAATGACACAAATAACTCAGCACTGTTTGAGTATATTGTTCTCTGCTGTGTAAGTAATACTTGCTTTAATCCATCACTGCTGGAGAGAGAAGTAGTTCTGCTTGCATAGCATACATTTTGGAGGCAAGATCATGAATTCATCTGATTTAGAAGTCATCTGACAAGAAGGAACAAGTTTGCTTAATATGGATTGGTTCACCAGTTTGTTTGCACATTGCAACTTTATTTTGGCAACAATTCTGGCTTTTTACAGTTTAAAATAATCATGAAGTATATAACACTGTAGTTTTTTTCTCAGCTACTATGCAGAAATTGAGCAGTTAGAAATATTAAGTCATGAGATACTGTAACAGGAAGGCATGGGATGGAGGAGGAGGTTGTGAAGGAACTTGGTTATGTTTTCCCTGTGCTGATTTCAGATCGGTATTGTTCCTTTTTAGTTTCCCTAAARTCTTAGGGTTTAGAGCACTAGTACACAAGCTTTTGACTCACTTGAAGACAYGTGTATAAACGAATATGGGACTGTKACTTCTGAATAAGGTTTGCCAAGAACAGAGTATTAAGAATTGTTATTATAGAAAGTTACTTTGTTGTACTGGAGAAATGTGAAAGTCTCTTTTCAAACTCAGAGATGAAATGCAATTCTTAAAGAGTAAGTAGAAGTATTAATAAATTATGGTCTTTAGTTAAAGTTAATTCTAAAGTGATATGAAGTCACTTAGACAATGCATCAGCTTGCTGCAGGTGTACCAAAAAGAAATGGACACAAAGGAATAACTCTGGAAAATGCATATACAATCTATTAGATGAYAGAAAAATAAACTCTAGCAAATAGATAATAAATCTAATACACAGAATAAATAATCTGCAAAGAATGTGTGATCTGATTCTCTGTGACAGAGTCTGAATAATGTTTAATCAGATACTTTTGCCATATTTTCAAGTCTCTGTTTAGCTATTGCAGAGCTTTATGCACCTCTTGTTTACTGAATTTATCTAATATACCAGTTGGTCTTACTCTACTATACAAAGCAATGGTAATGTTTAAATTATGGCAGTTTTGCTAGGTTTTATACAATCTATGTGCCCAGTAGGCATTTGACCTGCAGCAGGTGTATCTTTAAGGTCTGGAGAGTTGTAGCAAGTTTCTTTCACTGTATGGTTGACTGAGTATATGTAACTAGGTTCCTGTAAATCATGTTTTTCAAGCTTTGAATGAGTGTTCTGACCAATTATTTTATAGAGTTTTAGTTCAGGTGCTCTATGTGATCTTGTAATACCTCTGTAAACCCTGACTAACATCTGTGCAGTTACATGGCATCACTCACTAGTCATTAAAAATACAACAGCAGTTGTACTGCATGGAATTTTAGATGGCTGGTGTTATGACATAGTTACCATTCATTATTAATATTACCAGTTAGGTGACATCATGTCAACATTCACTYGGCCATTGCCAAACAAAACTGTGCAACAATACAGTTTATGGTGTGTAGTATTGCAATATATCTGTTCTTCGACATTATTTTTTTCTTTCTTTCCTGTGTTCTTTTTGAATGTTCTCTGGGCTGGCTGACATTTTTTAGGTGTTGCAGTCACTTTTGTGAGGTATTGCACGTATTTGCTATTACAAGTGTGTGTATCTAATTGAAGCTACAAGCATTCAGCTTGTTTTGCAGTACGTGTGTATTGTAATCAGACTAGCAGGATGTTAGGGCTTAATGGCCCATGTTGTTGTCACTTTACCACAACACAAGTAATTGCTTAGGCAGTTGTAGTCAGATAATATAGCTAAATGTGGAGGTTTTAAAATTACAGCACTAGATACCATCAGAAATATTTGTTTTCAGGATTATTTCTGTTCTGTCAGTGGACAGTTACAAATATTCCATCTATGGTGACAGTAGATAGCTATGAGTTTATTATTTTCTGAGTTCTGCCTGGGTCCTGCCTTGCTGTTTTTCCAGGATTTCTGAAAGTGTATTTTTAATTATTTTTTTAGTGTACGTTGTCTTTACTTGCTTATTCTGGTGACTGAGTAATAACCTAAGAGAATGCGAGGAAATTACTTACCTGTGTGCATATATTTGTCTGGTGCCATTTCATAGCTGATTTGCTGCTGCTTGTTTGAAAGGTTTATGAGTCACTGGCTATATATATAAGTATAATTTTACAGYATGTGTTTCAACTCATCTTAGATTTATTGACCTAGACTTTATGCACTTATACCTTTTCTGGCATAATATGGCACTTGTCCTTCTGCTGAGAAAGTGCAATCGTAAATGGATAGGGTAAGGTCACARAGTACTTACCAGCTCAGCTAGCAGAATTTAGAAGGTAATGGTTTGCACTTCAAAATAACTGTAGTTGTGTTTAACTTTTATTGTGAGAGTACTAAATGTGTTATGATAGGTAGGTAAGTCAACTTTCTGTTGCATTGGCTGTGCATATAGTAACTTTAAACTTAAGGCTTCCTGTTATTAAAACTTTGAAGGCTAATAAATTTGTAAAACTGAAATAATAGTTGTATTGAATACGTTATGACTGAAAGAAACTCATGGGAAAGTAAGGTTATGAAAAAACACGTCAAGCTTATAAAAAATAAAACCCCCAAAAGGGGGAGAAAAATCTTTTTCTGGAAAAAGATCAGAGTACTACTGAAGTGCTTTCCAGTATTTTAGTTCAGTGATTATTTTACTTGTATTAGTGGAAAGTCATGGTAAAATATAATGTGTGCGCATGTTGAGCTACATTTGATTTTTCATGTAAAAACTATGTGAGTGCACATGGGTAAAATAGAGGACAAAAAGAAAGAGAAAATGAACAGTTTCTAAAATCAAGAATATTGACTGCTACCCTTAAATTTCCTTTGATTTTATGTTCAAAGTTTAGTTTCTAACACTTAAGTTAACATTTAGTTTCATCACATTTAATTTTTTTCCATGAGAGCACTCTGATTCAGTTCACAGGATAAATGGTGAACTGTATGTCTTGGTTTGAGACAATGTTTTCAGGGAGAAATGTTACAGAGTAAATGTTTCCTCTGATGTGAAAAATTTGATAATTTTTTCCCACCAATATGAAATAGATGTTCCAGCAAAAGTGAAAAGAAAAGTTTATTAACAAAACACAGTGCCCACAGGACATAGATAAAAAGTAACTGTTAGATATTTAAAAGTCCAGGAACGCACGCCACCCTCTTCYCCCCACAGCTGCTGGGCCATGTGATGCGGAGAAAAAGATGGCGGCTCCTGTCCCTGGGAAAAAAGAAACAAAAGAAAAAAAAAGTCCACATGGTGCTTGAGCAACAGTGGAAAACCTGATGACAGTCCTCACCGCAGATGAAACAGAGGGCTCGGTGTGCTTTTCTGTCACCGGCCTGGCTTCTTCCGGAGTTGGCGCCACTTGTCCCCTCTGGCCGCCCAATTGCTCCAGAAGAAAAATCACAGGAGCCGCAGAGGGGGTGGCAGGGAAAACTGTTTGCCCAAGATCGGGTTTGCCCCTAACAAATCGGATCTAGCTAAATGGCAAAAACTCCAGGGAGCAGACCTCCTGCAGTGCCGAGCTGAGGTCCAAAAGCCAACGGCTSGGCAGCAGCCCCAGTTTGGTTTTCAAACTGCCTGCACTGGGTTGCATTTAAAGGCACAGGCACCTTTTGGGCGTACAAGGTGATGGAGTATAGGAATACAGGATTGGCACAAAATCAACCCAAGGCACTGTTTTTTTTGGTTTGTTTTTTTTTTGTAAAATCTGAGGTTTTTTTCTTCTTTCTGCTGTGCTTAGTCTCTGTCCTTACTTCTTCACCCTATTTAAAATGTTAGGATTTGAGTTTGTAGTATTCACTGCTATAGTGATTGAATGTTTTACAAGTTTTGTTAACGTGTTTTCTCAGTAACCAGTCAGGTGAATAGGAAGAGGTATTGTTGTTCCATTATCATTACATTTCCACAGCTTTTAGAGTCTTTAGAAATAATTTCTAGTTTTGTTTGCGTCTTTATTGACACACAAACCCAGTGTGTTTTTGGATGCTTGCCTTCCTCTTAGGGTCAGGAGAGAAAATGTGATATGCCTTGGTTGTCTGGTTGCCTTTTTCTGGTTGGAAGAAAATTATTTTTCTCTCTCCTTTCCCCCTTTCCCCTTTATTTAATTTTAGGAGTTGCATTGGCTAAGATAGGAGCAAGCTTTTTGCATTTTCTCTAGTTTGTAAGATTTCTATGTGGATAAATAAGGACATATATTTTAAACTGTCAATATGTTTCAAACTGGTGTGTGTTTCATAAAAATTGCAGGATTGCAAATTGTCTGGAGGGTGTGGTAGCCTGACCCTCGCCAGCACCTATACTCACTTCCCTATCCCTGGCAGGCTGGGGGCAGAAAACAGGAATAAGAAAAGCAAGAAAACTTGCACTACTCTGGGAGGGCAGCAGAGAGAACAACTGTGTGAGGTGCCATCAAATCCACCATCTGCTCTGCCTAGTGGTGGCATTGAGACAAAGATGAAAGTATTAGGGACTCTGAGAAAGAGATTGACTGGTGGAGGCACACCCTGCCATACCTTAGACAAATGGACTCACCCACCATGGGTCAAGAAGGTCACAAGAAGCAGTGGATCCCCTGCCATCTCACCACCAGGCAGAAGCACAGGACTGTAGAGATGGAGGGGAGTAGAAATGGCGAATTCCCCCCTGACCTATCTCACCTTCCCTTATATAGGAGGTGTGAGGCCGTGAAATCTGAGGACTAGGGAAATGAGAATGTGGATGGTTCTTCCAGGGTGGAGGAGTTGCCTCAGACAGGACAGCCTCCCACATAACAACCTCCTCAATTAAGAAGTTTAGTAGTCATTGGTGTCACCCTTTTGAGAGGAGTGTAGAACCCGACGTGCTGAGCAGATCCAATCCATAGGGAGGTGTGTGGTCTGCYTGGGATCTGGGTCAGGGACATCATGAAGAAACTGCCCAGTCTGGKGCAGCCCACTGGTTATGACCCACTATTGGTTTTTCCAAGTAGGAATCAACAAAGTCCAAACAGCAGCACCACAGACAGTCTAGAGGGAACTTGGCCTTGAGTCAACTGGTTAAGGATCTGGAGCACAAACTGAGTTCTCTTCTGCCAGTTGCAGGGAATGATGAATTTAAATAAACAATGCAGAATTGCAGCAAGCATCAGTAGAACTTAATTAGAGCCATCATAAATTATTCAAACCATAGCTGATTTAAATACTCACTTTCTGATTCTTTTCGCTTGTCATTGAACAGAAGCTTTTTCAGAAGTACTGTTTTAGTTTTAAATTWTGTTATTGATCATGTACTGCTCAGTATATGTCTTCTGTCACTGTTCTTCTGGGCCTTGTGTTAATGTTTGATCCATCACACTGAAGAGTTGGAGTAGGGAGCCAATATGGATAGAAGTAAGAAAAGTATACTTAGTTGAGTTAGTTATAAACATTTACCTGCAAACAGCTTAACAAAGTTAGCTAAAAACCAATTTTTTGTGTATTGGGCTGAATTTCATATTTTGTTTAGCCTACTTCTAGAAGTTTGTAGGGGTTTTTTAATTAATAATGTAGCTGTTCCTGTGAGATTTTAATTAGAGTAATGTTTATAAAATGTGCAGTAAAAGAGCATAGAGTTCCTCTTGGGACTGAAAACAGTGTTTTAATACTATTTTTTCTACTGGTTTCTAACCTTCATTATTATTCATAATGCTGTTGTAGCAGCATATAAAAGTGTTTCATGATAAAGTTAATTCCTCTCTTTCGTCAGTTGATACATCTCACATTAATGACTTCCAAGATGGTGATGTAATCTAGTTTTTGGGTTTTTTTTTACATCTAGTTCAGTAATCTCAAAGTTTTGCATAAATTTCTTAATTCTCTCCTGCTCCAGTTAAAGAATTTGGAGAGGTTTTCTCTGTTTTTAACRTTTTTGTGACTTTTTTTGCACATCTTTAAACATATGAGATTCTTAGTGTTTTATCATGTGAATAGTCTGAGAAATTACTGTGACTATTTTGTCAGATTGTACTGGTTTGGAGCAGAACACTGAGACAGTTTCATAAAGCACCATTTGATATATATAATGCCCAATGCCTGCAGATATACTCAGAACGTTTTAACTGTTTGTAGTTTATATAAATTCTTTCACTTAAGTCAAGCTGAYTTCTGACTGTGGGTTTGCTGCTTTGTTACTGTGTAGCTAGGGAATTGCAGTTTATTCATTGCTATTTACAAGATAAAGGAGCATTAGTACCTTGACTCTTAAAATATATATTTCAGAGTTTATATACACTAACCTGTTCCATGACTGGGGTTTAGTAAGGACAAAAAGTAAGTTTCTTTGTTTGGTTATTGTATTGGTGGGATTGTACTGTTGATTCAAAAAACACATTGGTATGTAACTGTACAGGCTTAGGTTTTGGATATATTATATCCTGAGTGAATTCTGTTGCTTAATTGCAGGAAGTGGCTGTTTTTGTCTTTGATAAGAAGCTGATAGACAAGTACCAAAAATTTGAAAAAGATCAGATTATTGATTCTTTAAAACGAGGTGTTCAACAGCTGACTAGGCTTCGGCACCCTCGACTGCTTACTGTTCAACATCCATTAGAAGAATCCAGGTAAGCTGTAGTAGAATTGAGAACAGATATTTTTAATAACTGTTTTGCTATGGGATGTAAACTATCTGGAACATTCAACACATACATCTAATGTCAAATTAACTGTATTTGTTCATATGAGAATGGTATTCACCTCACCCCCATATTTCCAACCCTCCTGGACACAGAATGCAGTTCTGGTGTGGATCTAATTAATAATCAATTGCTTGATCTTAGTCCCGTTGCATGACCCTTACAGCATGAAAATTTGGTAGTTTAGATAATTTTTCTTTTAAGGAACTCATATATATTGTTTTATTTCGAAAAGTTATTTATACATTTGTTCCATATGTGAGATGTATTTTATGATTAGGGATTTTTGGTGWATTTTAAGTGTTGTGACTACGTATGTGTTGAAAAGGTTCTCAAATGCCAATGAAAGGAGGCGAAATTCAACGTGTTCTTCTAGTGCTTATTTGATTTATGAAAAGTTTGTCACCAGGTACAGTAACTGGTTGGTCTTACAGATTTATTGTTCAGCTGTAGTGGTAACAGCACACAAAAATCTAACAAAGAAAATCAAGGTCTCTTGTTAAAATAGGAAGCTGATCCTGATACTACCAGGGAAAATCATGAAGGTTTTAGGGTTTTTTTCCCAAAATAGGAAGGGGGTTGGCCTAGGTGATTTGCGGAAGTGCTTTCTAATCCCAACGATTCTGTGATCCTAAATGGTAGCCTAATAAAGGTTCATTATATAATGTCCTTCCTTTCTGTCTGTTATCTTGGRTTTTCAAAATGGTTTCTAGGAGCCAAGAATACTGTAGGAATGCTTMTTCATCTTTGCAATGTCCTCTTTGAGACAGATTTATTTGATTAAATTGTGCTTGCGTATTCGTTTCGATCTTTCCTGCAGTACTAAAGACATTTCACATTAACAGGGGTTCAAAGCTGTCATTGCACCTATAATTCAGTATATCCCCTACCAAGGCCTAAGGAAGATAATGTAGGTAGTTGAAGACAGCCCTCAATATTCTACAACATTAAACAGTTAAATGTTAGATGGCCTAGGGTGATCTCAAGTTATAGTGTATGCAGAAGTGAATCCCAGAATACACCTTTGGCTTCTTCCTAAAATTGTCACAGTTTCCCAGCTTTTCCCCTGAACTTTGCCCTTCAGAAGAAAAGGCCAAGATTCATACCTTGGAGTTTTAAGAAAGCTTTGGTGGTGTGTTTGTGAAGCATTTTAGCCTTTTGAGTAAAATTAACGGTCTAGTTACGTCAGAGTTCTTTGTSAGTTTGTGAGTTTTTGGTAATGCCTTATGCTTTGCTTCAGGTGTTTTTCTTTCCATACTTGGCATACTCAGCTGCTAGTAGAAACCCAGAAGGACAAAACCTGTTCAGTTGTTTGCTGTGCCAGAAACTGATGTAAGAGTTTTTGGAGCAGATTAATAAAAAAAAAAGGTTTTGTGTGTAACCTTGTGCAAGCATGCTGTAAGATTGCCTTAGAATTTCAGGTCTTTCCAGAGTGCTTGCTCTTGAAGAAATCTGTTGTGGGCTTCTGGTTAAACTGTACATGGTCTTTTTTTTTTTCTCTCTTTTTTTCTCTTTTTTTTGTGTTTCCCCAACGTATGTTTGCTGTTGTAATGAACTGCTTGGAGGTCACCAGTTACTCCTCCTTTATGAGGCAAATGGATCCTTGGTATACCTGGAGGGCTGAAATAGATAYGGAAAGAAAGGCCATACCTTTCTGACCCTAGTGTGTAGATAGTTGATTTTCACTACTACAGATGATTGGTATCCAGCATRGTTATGTTTAGTATAAATATGTATGAAACGTATAATGATATATACCTCTTTACATGCATTTATATAATGAGTAACTCCTTATTTATACTAAATATKTAATATGAATGTGTTTATTTACAAATGGTCTTGAATTCCATCAACAACACTGAAAAGCAATATTAATTTGTATCTAACTTGTTATTGAAGTAAAGGATAAAAAAAAAACAAATTGAAAATTAACTCATAAGATCTCTACCCATTAAAAATAGTAGTAGCATGAATTGTCCCTGATAATTTACTAGACATTGCATTTGTTACATTGTTTCCCTGTAAAAATCGTATGCATTTTTGGCCATCACTTTTATTTTTAAAGTGTTTTTATTTTATTACTCTTTAATTTCATTTTGATATTATTCAAAAAACTGTAAAAACAGCTGCACTAGATGGCAGACATCAGTTTCTGCAGTATTCTCCTACTTTGATTAGATTTACCGTATCCTGATTATGTGGCTTGGGCTYTTTTTTAATTAGCTCCTAAAGTAAAAAATAAACAGCCATCTTTTTATTCCCTCAAAACAACAGTAATCAGAGAGTTTATGTTATGAAAACTACTGAACAATATTCCCTAGGCACTTTCTGTCATCTGTGCCTTAACCATAACTAAGTGGATAAGCTCTGTGGTGAAGCTGAAGTTAGACTGTAAATAAAGGACTTTTTCTTTCTGTGTTCTGATTTTTCCTTGTSATTATAACAGAAACAAGTTTTATAGCCCGTGTCATATTAATAGAAATGTGAAAAGTATGTCATTAACAAAACRGTAGGGAAGAAACCAAGCAAACAGTTCTGTCAGGTTGGCTGASACTGAGGATTCAATGTATTTTGATTTTCAGTTGTTTTTCCTTTAGAGAGGCAGTAGATAAAACTAAAATCTGGATTAACAGTAAGAGGTTTGCATGAATCAGCGCTCTTATTTTGCTTCAAAGGTCAAGCTTGTTAATTATTGAAATACTTAAAAAATATGTGGTAGATTCATGCTGAGACRATCTTCTGATCTTTTTGTGGAAAGACCAAAAAGTTAGGGTCTGTCTTCTTGCCTGTATTTTATATTCAAAAATATATCTTTGTTATTGTTACTCAGTTTCTGTTTTCTGTGTTCATACTGATGCAGTGTTTAGTGTTCTCATGAATTAATCATCTGTAAAGCAGGTATGTGTGCTACTATCCATGTAATGCTTTCTCAAAAAAGACCCTTTAAAACAGTTAAGGAGTGAGTTGCAATGACTGTCCAGGGCCTCCACCCCTGTACAGACCAGTATGAAGAATGTGGATGTAAAGAATGACTCTGTCTGTTGCATGAAGTTTGTGAAATTGAGGCATATATTGTTTCAGGACCAATTCTGAAATTTTAAATTTTGAAGCAAAGTGTTACAACTGGTCCAGTTCATGTGTGGAAGTTTTCTTCATCTGTGCTTTTCAAACACATAAAAATGCATAACAAGACCATTAGGTTTTAATGAAGGAAAGAATCAATAAAATAATTTGGAAAACAGTTGCTTCACATGTAAACTGCAGTTCATATAACARGTGTGTTTGTGTTTGGAGCTCTTCTTCTCTATCACTTAGCAAAGTAAAAGAATATTCAGGTGCTCCCTTACATTAATTYAATTTCTGGTCCTTCTCTAACTATATTAAATAGTGGTTCAGTCAGGGACATGTTGGTTTTAGGCATTGGTAGTAGTGTGATTTACAAGTTTTATAGTAGTAAGAATTATTTGATCAATCTTTTCTGGATCAGGACAAGAAAAGCATTGTTTTTTAAATTTTTTATGAAGCATTGTGTGACTCATTAGTGATTTATGTAAATGTTAGAGAGTAAAATAACTTAATTCTTGTATTTTTTTAAACCTCAGATGTTTATGTGTTTCTCTTTAGTATAATATTRTAAGAATTCAAAATCTGAAGTATAGCATCCCTTTTGATAGCACCAAGTGCTTTGGTAATGTGTAATATTGTGTTTATATGGTTCTTTATTTACAGTGAAGAGATGTATTACATTTATGTACAAGAATTTTTTAATGCATTTCCTATGCAGGGATTGCTTGGCATTTTGTACAGAACCAGTCTGTGCAAGTTTAGCTAATGTTCTTGGCAGCTGGGACAACCTACCTTCTCCTTTGCCAGCAGACATTAAAGAATACAAACTTTATGATGTGGAGACAAAATATGGTTTGCTTCAGGTATGATACAGGTTGTCTTTGTAATTTTCCTGTGCTTTTAGTATTAATGTGGGTTTTTTCTTGAAGTCTGTAAACTGCCAAAGTTTTGTCTGCCTATAGTAAATCAAATAATTGTGAGATGAGACATAATAGTTCCCTGATCACTCTTAAGTGTAGGAGAGGATAAACACTGGAGGCTGTAAATTGCTACTCTTTTTTTACCTGTTCTGACGTGTAAAATAGAAAATTAATTTATTTTCCATGTATATGTCTTTGCTACAGCTTTCTCTCCCATCTGTGGAGAAACAGTAGCTCCCACGTTTTGTTTGGTGCATATGTTGGTCAACTTTGTAAAGCATTTTTCTTCTTCTGAGATCATATTGTGGCCTGAGGGGAGAGGGGAATGCACCACCATACTTATGCTGTGATAGTTAATTGACATTAGTAATCTCACCTGCTGATTATCCATCTGTGTTTACTTTCCTTCAAACATAATTTTTAAGTCTTAGGCTAATATAGTGGTGAAAACTTGATTCTTGTTTAACTTAGGGATTTAACTGGGAGAACAGAACTTTTGTAAATGTCTTACAGGATATTTGGGGAAGTATTTAACCTGAAATGTTCTTTTATTAACAGGTTTCTGAAGGTTTGTCATTTTTGCATAGCAGTGTCAAAATGGTCCATGGAAATGTTACTCCTGAAAATATAATTTTGAATAAGAGTGGAGCATGGAAAATTATGGGCTTTGATTTTTGTATCCAATCCACCAATCCATCTGAACAGGAGGTACTAGTCTTTATCATCATTCAATTTCAAATTCAGATCTTTGTCTGAAACCAATTTCATGATCTTGCGTTCCAGTATAGAATCATTTATTTAATATTCACCTCTGTATTTTGTTGGCAGAAAGTTAGAACATATGGCACAGGTCTGGATTGCAGTGCTGCCCTTGATCATCACAGAAAAAGAGCCTGAGTTGGCTCAGTGGAGTGACAGTAGACTAGTGATGGTTTCAGCCAGAGGCTGAAGCCTGTGCCACTTGTACTCACCTTGGCGTTGGATGACATGCAGGCCTGCCTAAGAGCCTGCTGCATCTGCTCAGTGCTTAGTTGCTACCTCCTAAAATGAAATCCCATCATAGCTCATGTTTCCCCATTACAGCAGTACTTTGATGTTAAATTACATTTCCCAGCTCAGATATTCTGACATTACTGCATCAGCTGATCACACTGAGCTACAGATCGAGATTCTTAACAGTTTTGCCTTAATGTATTTCTCTTTGATTCATAATAGAATTTGAGTGGCTTAATTATTTTTTGCTGCTTGAGCTTCTTGTTGAAAATGGTGTTTAAAAATCCTTGATAAATGTACTTTGTTTTACTTCTCATACTTCTCTTGTAGCCAAAGTTCCCTTGTAAGGAATGGGACCCAAACTTGCCATCTCTGTGTCTTCCAAATCCTGAGTATCTCGCACCAGAATATATTCTCTCTGTGAGCTGTGAGACAGCCAGTGATATGTACTCTCTGGGAGCTGTTATGTATGCGGTGTTTAATAAAGGGAAACCAATTTTTGAGGTCAACAAGCAAGATATTTATAAAAGCTTTAGTAGACAGCTGGACCAGGTATTTGTTCTATTCATGACTATTGTTTGTTGATTTTCATATTTGAAACGTTATTATTGTAAAATAGATTTAAATACTGAGAACACTATCAGTGCTCACTATTTCATATTATTTGTGGACAGTGAATATTGACAGAAGATAGTGTCATAGTTAATTGGATCCGCTGACATAATGTCTGTTCCTATGCAGGTTTCCTTTGTTGTAACTTCTTTGGTGTCATGGTTTAGAATGCTGGCCGAAAGCCAGGCACCCACAACATCTGCTCATTTGCTCTCCCACACCACCATTGGGCAGAGAAGAGTGAAGAGAAAAATATAAATTAACAAAAGGGTTCATGARTTGAGATAAGGAGAAGGGAGGAAACGCCTGACGGACAAAACAGGCTCTACTTAAGTTATGAAGTGAATTTATTACTAACAAAGTCAGAGGAGGAGAATGAGAAATAAAATACAACCCTCAAAGACACCGATCTCCCCACTCCCTCTACCCTTCCTACCGACAGTACAAAGCAGGGGGGGTGAACAGGGTGTGGGGTTGGTCAGTTCATGGTGTGGGGTTGGTCAGTTCAGGGTGTGGGGTTGGTCTGTTCAGGGGTGGGGTTGGTCAGTTCAGGGTGTGGGGTTGGTCAGTTCATCACTAGATCCTCTGCGGCTGCTGAGGGAGAGAAGTCCTTCCCTTGCGTTGCCATGGGGTCCCTCCCATGGGAGACAGTTCTTGGTGAACCTCTCTGGCGTGGTTCCACTCTCACGAGCAGCAGATCACACACATCTGCTGCATTGTGAGTCCCCCCATGGGCAGACAGTCGTCCCAAAACTGCTGCATCGTGGGGCCCCTAATCCCCTGGGTGCAGGCCCAAGGCCAGGCTGTTCCATCTCGGGAGCAAGGCCTCTCTCTCCAGGGCTCTCCTGCTGCACACAGCCCCTTCTCGGCATCTGC